CAGCTGGGCCCCGAAGCCCCAGCACTGGCATCTGTTGCCGCTCCTGCCCGCACAAGTGCTGTTGAGTTGGGTCACATCCTGGGTGGAGGACACGGAGGTGTCACCTCATCAGCTGCTAGGACTGGGGCCGACAAGTCCTTGTTCTAATGCAGGTCCAGTTTTTTTTCTCCTGCATCGCTTAGGATGTTGCAGGTGACATTGTGGCTGGGATTTTCCTTATTCTCTGTTTTGTGACATTTCAGCTCAGTTCCCTTCCACCTGCATCTCCTCGATTCCTTCTTTCTGAGATGTGTTACAGGACTTCCCTGTGCCTGGGCATCATTGGCTGTGGGGTGCACGGCTGTATGTGCTCATGAGTTGTCCTGAGGACTGAGCCATGGGAGAGCGCACTGCCGGGGCTGTGAGATGTCAGCAGGGGCCACCAGCTCATTTAACCTGAGGCATTCCTCCTTGTCTCACTTGGCATGTTTGGTTTTCTGAGACTGGGTCTCGCGTGTAGTGCAGGCCAGCCTGAAATGTGCTGTGTAGCCCTGGCTGCCCTTGAACCCATGATCTTCCTGCCTTGGCCTCCCACATTCTGGGGTGACAGACTTGCATCCCTTTCCTGGCCTCGTGTCTCACCTGTTGTGTGTGTTACTGAATGTTGAACCCAGAGCCTCAGCGCTGAGCTGCAGTCCCAGCCCTCTCCCTTCTTAAACTTTGAGACTAGGTGTGGCTAAGTTGCTCGAGTTGGTCTTGAACTTGCAGTCCTGCCTCAGCCTCCCACAGTGCTGGAGTTGCAGGAGTGTACCACCTGCCCGGCTCTTCGTGTACTATCTAGAAGATTTTGTTTCCTACCCATCCTGTTGAATTGAAAAACTACACGTATTGTGATACTAAGAGTCCATTCATATTCTTTCGCCTTTCATTTGTAGGCTGTACTGTCTTGGTTCTCAGGGCATCGACTTTGGATGGTGGTCATTGTTTGCTTATGTTTTATTTTTGAATTTTTTTGGTGCTGGGGATGGAATCTAGGGCCTTGTGTATGCTAAGTAAGTGCTAACCCCTGAGCTGTACTCCACCTAGTCCTTCTATCCTTCCTCATATTATTTGTATGTGTACAATATTTTAAAAAAAATTTATTTTATTTTATTTTATTTTATTTTATTTATTTATGCGTGTGTGTGGGGGGGGGGGGGCAGCTCAGCCCACCAGGGGGAGGGCTGGCTGGCATGTGGTGCTGGGGGATTGAACCGCGGTCCCTGTGCTTTGCCAAGCTTGTTCTAAGTAGGTGCTTTAGACCACTGAGCCATCTCACCAGCCCCAATATTTTAAAAATTTCATTTTGAGATTTTAAAGATTTCATTTTGGCTGGAATTTATAATCCTCCAGATTACTAGGAGTATGGGCGTGCACCATTGTGCCTGGCTTTCTTCTTCTAGTCCTCTTGTGCTTTCTCAAGTCTTCCCGTGTCCTTTGGCTCTTTTCTCGGGCAGGGTCTTTTTGAGCACTCTAGCAGAGTGGGTTCTGCTACTCCATAGAAACTCCAGATTTCCTGCTGAGGAGAGTTTCTAATATGAAGCATTTGCACCTTGCATCAGCCCCTCTGCCAGCTGGGAAGCCTTTGGATTTCCCTGAGGGAAGCTGGCAGCTGCCCTGCCAGGAGGGTGGGGGGAGAAGGGGTCCCCAGGGCTGGTGGTCCAAGCACAGTCTTCCAGTTTCATTTTCCTAACAAAATAGGTCCTTTACTGAGATCTAATCATTCACCATAAGCTATCCTGTCGCTGAGTACACTTAGTGATGGCAGCAGCCTCACCGTTTATGCAGATATGCCTACAAACTCCATCAGCATCCTCCAGTTCCAGGACATTGCTGTGCCCTGAGAGAAAAGCCCCATGCCCAGGACCATGGTTACTTCTACCTCTACCTTCCTTCCCACCTGCTCCCTTCTAACCCCCAGCTTCTCATTCTTTCTCTACCCCTCCTAGACCCAGAATGCTACCTCCTACAGTTCTGACACCAGAAGGGCCCTATGCCCTCGCCCACTCTGCTTATAGAGGCTCCCTGCCCACCTGCATCTCCTGCCACCTCTTCACAGCTGGCCTTGTTTCATGTCACCTTGGCTTGGCTGTGACTCCTATGGGTTAGCAGGTGACATGTTAGCCTGCCTCCTTCTGGGGAAGCTGAAGAAACTCCAGAAGCTTGCTTCCTGGAGGGGCTGGGTAGTCTGTTGGGAATGGCAAGAGAAGCTGTGACACAGATAATTGGAAAGATGTCTGCCCTCAGCAGAAGCAAGGGACCTAGGTGTCAGGCCCAGGAAACCCAGCTTGTCCTTCCTAGGAGGTGGCCCTGCTATGGGTCTTCATGCTGGGGGTGGATTGAGACTGGGAGTGGGTGTAGAGCACACAGGCGTGGGGTTGGGTCCGCGGGCTCATCCCTCCTCCTTCCCTGGGCTGCTGAGGCTCTCTTCCCAGGTGCAAACTGGGTAACCTGAATCTGGATGCACACAAGCTGCTCGTGGGCCCCAAGAGCAGGCTACAGATGTCTAGGGCTAGAATGGATAGCTCTTCTACAGTTGAGAGCCCCCGCTTTTTGGCTGTCTGCCCTCAGAGAATGTGAAGCATTGGGGAGGGACCGGCCTGTGGTCCAGGCTGCCTGGCAGAGACATGGATGTGGCCAGTGCCAGCTGCATGCTGCAAATATTTGGTGAATGCGCCCAAAAGAAAATGTATGTCAGAGAGGCAGGTTCTGTGCCTGGTCCCAGGCCCTGGGACTGTGACTGTGAGCGAGGCCTCCTGATGGGAATGGGCGACAGACAGGGAGCACTGCAGAACCCTGGGAGCCAGGCAGGGAGGTAGCACTGGGTGCCCTGCGGGGGTGCTGCAGGAAGTGACCTGTGACCCAGCCTGGCCCGCACACCTGCAGTGGCCACGAGAGACTGCACATCTTGCAGGCCTTGGTGGCGAGAAGGCTCTGTGCGGGCACTGGGAGCCGTTAGGGCACAGTTAGACATGCGCTTCACACTGTCTGTTGTTCTGGCTTCCTGGCCTGAAGCTGCCCAGGAAGGAGCCTGGGCTACTACCCAATTGCCCCACAGTTTGTGATCAACAGCACTTGGTGACAGGTGAGCTTTATAAGAGGAGGAAGCAGGTCCTTGGGTGAAGGGCTGGCACCCTGTGCCCTGGCTGTGACATGCAGTGTGCTGCAGGTCTGCAGGTGTATCTGCAGTGTGGGGTGGGCTGCAGCATTCCTGCAGTGGAGGGAGCCAGGCTGGAGAGTGGGACAAGGCTGTAGTAGTACTGCGCCCGGGCTGCAGATTCTGCCAGTTGTCCCATCATTGGGACGTCATTGTAGTCCTGTAGGCAGCGCGGCTCCCCTTCCCTCAGTTTGAGGGTGATAATTCCCCAGGAGTAAGCTGCAGGGCATGTCCATGGGGCTCTCAAAGAGGGAGGACAGGGTAAGGGATTCCAGGAATTATCTCCTGGTGTCCAGGCTCTCACAGCTACCAGGCAGCCCAGCCCTGCCTTTGAGGCCCCGCATCACCCACATGCTCCACTGCCCAGCTTGTTCCTCTAGAACATACACGAGGCCTTTGTTTAATGTCTTTTCTCTTTAAGAAAATCATACCATTTTAATGTAAGTCATGTTTTATTGGGTTCTATTAACTTTTCCAGAGAGTTCTGTGAAAGTTAGTCCTGGTGCAGATGTGTGTGTAAAGGTTTTTGGCGTGTAGTTCAGGATGGCCATGAGCTCACTATGTAGCCCAGTCTGGCCTCCAGCCTGGCTGTATAAAGGTTTAACAGCTGATGTCATGTTAAGCAAGCCAGACATAGAGGAACTCCTCCAACCTTACCTGTATGTAGAATTCACAGTCCAGCTCAGAGGCAAAGTAGGATGGTGCTGCCAGGAGCTGAGGAGGTGACATCAGAGGACACAGCTGTCACTTGTGTAAGATGACTGAGGTCTCTGCTGCGTGCCCCTATGGCCAGCAAGACTGAGTGTGGGCATCCAACAGCTGAGAGGTGGACTGTACTGTAAGTGCACCTGGGGGACTAGGGGCCAGAAGATGCCTTGGAGGTGATGGTGTGCCACTTGCCTCAGGGGTGGCGGTTGTGTGGGTGTATTATGCCTGTCCCTAGATGCACTCTGTGCATGTTAAGCACATGGCTTTGGATCAGACCTTGAGGACTTGGGGAACTCATGCCCTGCCTGCCATCAGCAGTTGGCAGTGTTTTTCCTCTCTCAGGATAGTGGTTGCCTCCAGAGATGAAGGGGCAGAAGACAGATTTGATTTGTATGATACTCATTTTTTTTCTTCAAACCGGGGGCACAGTATCTTCATTTTATTTGCCGGATGGCAGTAGACTATGTGGGAACGTGCACGGCTTGAGCGAGCTTGTGGGCTTCGCTTATATTATGTACACTTTGTAAAGTTCATTTCAGTTTTGTTTTTCATCCACCCAGCACTGGAGGTTGAACCCAAGAGCCTTTGCGCACAGCCCAAACTAAGTTTTTTATTTTGAAACAAAGTCTCCCTAAGTTTCCCCAGCTGGGCTCAGCATTCTCCCACCTCAGCATTCTAGAATGCTGAGATTACAGTTGTACGCCACCCTCCTGGCCCCAGCCCGCCCTTGCTAGGCCCTGGAGTGGAGCCCAGCGCAGTCCCGTGAGCCTCTGCTCCTCATGTCCAGGCGGCGGCCACCGTGGGGATCCTGTCGTGTGAACAGGTGGAGGCCTCCGCAACTCAGGGACCTGCATCAGCGCAACTCAGTGGCCTTGCCTGGCCTTAGCTTCCTTGCATGCTGCTGGCGTAAGTGCCCGGGGACAGTCTCACAATGCTCCTGCTATCTCCTTATTGATAGCTCCTTAACACCTTTCTTCTGCCCAGCCTGCCTCTCCAGCTTCCCGTGCCTTCTTCCTTCAGCATGGAACCACTGGACAGGCAGCGCGGAGGTGGGGGTGGCCTTGGAAGGGACAGGAAGCTGACCGAAGCTCACCAGTGGTTTTCCCTTTCTTTTTAGTGTGCAAGGAGCCCCCCTACAAGGTGGAAGAGTCGGGTTATGCTGGCTTCATCATGCCCATTGAGGTGTACTTCAAAAACAAGGTAGGAGCCATGCAGGTCACTGCAATACTTCTTTCTGTATACATGACCAGGCCAAAAACCTGAGGCAGGTGTCCCTGATCCTGCCCACAGGCCGTGGGAGCTCTGCGTGTGGTGCCCAGGGGACTGCCTTCTCTGGGCGCTGTGTGCGTCTCAGTGGTGCCTTCGGCTCAACTCCAGGCCGGGTCCTTGGGAGCCGTGTGCAGGTGCTGTGCTTCTGAAGTGTTCTTAGCATGGGGGCCTCACGGCCCAAACCAGCACCCCTGGGCTGAGAGCCAGCTCAGCGCAGGGGACTCCTTGGGTCAGGGTGTTCTGGCTCTTGGCCCTGTGGGTAGGTCCTATGACACATGAGCATAGCACCAGGGACAGTAGCGCCCCATCTTAGTGGCTGAGGGACTGTGTGCATTGCCTGCTGAGTCCCTGCCTGCCTCAGTGTCCTGTGGGTGGCAGGACCACATCACTGGCCTATTAGACTCCTCCGGGCTGACTTAGAGGAAGGGTGTCAGAGGCTGCGGAGCACTTGGGGGCCCTCCGGCCTGAGAGGCTTTTCTGTCCCTGGTGCACAGGCCTCCTCTCCTTGCCTGGGCTCAGCATGTAAGCCAGACAGTCCTGCTAGTGATGCTGGCTCCTAGAGCTTTCCCTGGCCCAGCGGGCCCGGTTGAGCTTGGAAGGTGGCCCCAGAAGAGCTGGGGCGTCCTGGCTGAATCTTCTCCCTGTGGAGGGCACTTAGTGTTTGCATCTCAGCTGGGACAACTGCTCTGCCCTGCACTGTCCACACGGGCCATGGCTGCGCCATACTGTTGCTGCAGGTGGGGCTGGACACTGTGTCCACATGGTGCTGGGAGAGTGCATGGCTCCTGGGTGCTGCCCAGGTTCTCGGTGATGAGCCAGATGTCACCCATGTCTGTGCCCACTGTGGCCACAGCCCCCCTTGCTTGCCTGCCGCCTGCCTTGCTCACTTGGGACTTCTGCCAGCCCAGTGCCCCAGCTTTCTGTCTCATTGCTGGGCTCACACTGGCTCCTAGACACGGGTCCATTCAACACCCCAATTCTGAGGCGGGGTTGGGCCTCGATGCCATTCCTTTCTTTGTTTTTTTCTATGTAACAGCCATGTTCCAGCGTCCCTGTGAGTTGGGCTGATGGTTGTGTTCATGGGCATCTCCACAGGGGGAGACTGGCGCCCCACCTGGCCTGTACCGGGGCCTCCTGAGGCATCTGGAAGCTGCCCTGAAAGGGGACGAGAGCCCTGGGTGGCTCCTGTTCTGCTCAGCTATGCTTGTGCAGGGTTCCCTTTGGCCTTTTGTCCAGACCTGAGGGTCTCCTGAGGGATTCTCTCAGGTGCCAACTGCCCCTGTTCTGGGAGAGACCAGACAAGGTGGCCCTTTAGCTGTGAAACTGTCCTTGCCAGGCTCAGCATCCTCCCTTGGGTGAGGCTTTATTTGGGGTGTGGGTTACAGGTTTGTGTGTTGGTGTGGGCCCCATGTTTCTTCCGAGGTCCCCAGGAAGGAACCTAAGGAAAGAGCTTGCAGGAGGCATGGAGAGCCGTGGGCATCTGACACCAAGGTTGGGAGCCTGGGCCCAGACAGCGCCCTGCGCTGAGGGTGGGAAACCTGTGGCTGTTCACTCCTTTCCTGCAGACATCCTGGGTCACCACCGGGCTGGGGCACACAGTCTTACGGGGCATGGCCCCTGCCTTTTAAGCATTATTATAGACTTCATTATGAAAACTTAACGTAAATAGGACATCTGTGAAAGTTAAATGTAACTTAAATAAGAATGAAAAACAGTGAATGTGTATCTGATGATCTATAAAGAAAGAAGTTGAATGTCAAAGTGACTGACAAAGAGGGAAGGGCTGAGGTTGCGGGGGCCTGGGGGCTGTCCTGTGGTTACCCTGGGGGTGGCCAGGAGGGCTGCCAGGGGCACAGGTTGCAGGTGGACACATCTGGTTCAGATACCAGGACGGGTGACCTCTCCAGGCCTTGGTTCCTCTGTCCACGGATGGGCGTGCTGCTTGGGTGCTCTTGGGAGATGGAGTGCCGTGGCACATGGAGCCCTGGACTCCCTGTAGGAATGTCCCACGCCTGTCTGCTGATGGCGCTGGTTCTGCAGTGCTACCCACCTGAACCAGGGGTGCTCTTGCCCACACGTCCACTGAGCTACTTCCTAGTCCTTTGTGCTGTATTTTCAGACCTGGTCTTGCCGAGTTGTATAGACTGGTCTAGAGCTTGCTGTGCTCCTGCTTCAGTCTCTTGAGCAGCCAGATGAAAGGTGTGCGCTGGTGCCGCTGTTGAGGGGCCTGGCTCTTTCGTCATGATCTGGGCAAGGAGGCACAGGGAGAAAGGCCCGAAGGAGGCAGAGGCTGCAGAGGCAGCAGGATGTCCTGGTTCTGTGGCAAGGGTGTGGCCCGAGGGGAGGATACCTCACCAGCCACAACCGTACGTCTAAGCCTGAGGTTCTGGTTACATGAGCACTTGCCCAAGAATGTGGCTCTGTCTGCAGAAGGGAGGACACGTGTCCCAGGTGGTGCTGGTACTGGCTTTGATGGAGGCTGTGTTCCTGTCGGTTGGCAGGACCCTCGCTCCAGATAAGTAAAGGGAAGGATTAAGGGCCTTCTCTGGTCACAGAAGTAATACTGTGCATCGCAAAGAAGCACTGTAAGCTGAGGAGTGGTTACTACTGCGGCAGAAGTCTCCCCCAGCCTGTGTACTTCAGGCTCTTTGCTGCCCAGGTATCAATTCCCATTACAGTTCCCATTGCTTTTATTTCTTAGAAACAGCCGGTCACGGCAATGCATAGCTGCTCCTTGTGGCACTTATTGTGCGAACCACCTCCCAGCTGACAAGCCACTGTGCCTCTGTACTTCCTGCTTGCGTGTCCCATAGAAGCCCTAGCCCACCAGAGACCAGGGCCTGATATGTTGGGAGTGGTCCCAGTCAGTGCCTGTTGACACAAACCTGCCTCTGAATCCTGGTGTCCTTTTGGTATTTCTCTTTGCTGTTGCAGCACAACTTGCAGTGTAGCCATCTCAGGTGCTGTAGCGTGGCATTCAGCACGTGATGCATTGTGTGACTGCCACCTCTCCTGGCTTGGAGCTTTCACCACCCATGAGGACACTTGTCCTCCCTGCTCCCATCTCCCCACCCTCTTCCACCACCTTCTCATTTGTGTTCTGCTCGGGTTTTCCTGGCACCCATTTCTGATACACAGATCGTGCGGTGTGGGTCTTTATGCAACCAGCAGCTTCTTTCACTGAGTGCCATCTTTTTGAGGTTCTCCCAGGCTGTAGCAGATACCAGTGTGGGTTGAGGATGAGTGGTTCTTAGGTTTTGCAAGCTGCAGCTGGGGCAGCCCCACCTTGCTGGGCACCAGTCAGGCATGCGCTCACTGGGCAGCTCTTAAGACCCCACTGCTCTGCATGTATCCAGGTAACTACAGAACTTCAAGTGTTCAGGTTTACAGCTACGTGTTAGCAATCAGCAACTTTATTTTTTTATTTTTTTTTTTTTTTTTTTTTTTTTTCAGAACCAGAGATTGAACTCAGGCCCTTGCACTTACCAGGCAAGCACTTATTCTACTACGCCATCTCCCCGGCTAGCAACTTTATATATATGAAACCCATGGACAGTGAGACTCATCCATACCATGATCTATTTTGTCCCTCCCTGTGCCAGTCAGCACTGGCGGCTTGGCCCAAGTGCTGCTCCGGACTGTCTGTGTGCCAGCTTTTAGTCCTCTGGTGAGCGGACACCTGGGAGTGCGTTACGCGGGTCACACGGCGGTTCTGTGCCTGCTCCGTGAGGCCGTGCTGCTTGCACCTCGGCCAGTGGCAAGGGCTCCTGTTTCTCCACGTCTGTGGCAACACTTGTTTCTGCATGAGGTTGTGGCCATCCCCTGGGAGTGAAGCACTGTCACACGAGGCTTTATTTCTGTTTCCTCAATGGCCAGAGGTGGTGAGCAGCTCTTCTGTGCTTCGTGGCTGGTTGCATAGCTTTTTTTGAGAAACGTCCCCTTCCCTCCCTTGCCCATGTTCATAGCTGGCCTCGGCGTGGTGACCTTGCGGAGGCTCCTTACATATTCTGGATGCTAATCCCTTCCAGATGTGTGATTGGCAAGTACTTTTGTCCGTATCATAGTTGCTTCCATTCTTCATAATGTTCATTTATGCATGAAAGACTTTCTTAAAATGAAGTTATGTATCTCTTCTTTTCTTATCTTGCCTGTACTTTGGGTGGCGAATCTGAGCTCCTAGAGACTTGCCTTATATCTCTTCATACTTGCTGTGTAGCTGTGTTTGGTGCTAGCCTTGGCTGAGGGCCTTGCAGTGCTGGAGCTGCACAGGCCCCGAGAGGTGGGTCCCACTCACACTTCTGTGTTCTGGTCATTGTCCTTCTTCCTTTCTTCTCCTCTCCTCTTCACTACTGGGTACTGAATGCAGGGGACCGTTTCCCTGAGTACATCTCCACCCCTTTTTTTATTTTGATACAGTCTCATTAGGTCCTCATGGCTGTACATAAACTTGGGATCCTCCTGTTTGAGCCTCTCGTATGGGTGAGATTATAAACATGCCTAGCTCTTGAATGCTTTTTTTTTTTTTTTTGAGACAGGGTCTCACAATATGGTCCAGGCCTTGACCTGGCAGCGATCCTCCTGCCTCAGCCTCCCAAGTGCTGGGATTAAATGTGTGCACCAGCATGCCTGGCTCTTGAATATTGTTTTGTTTTTAAATAATGAACAGGTATTGACTTTTGTCAGATACTCTTTTCCTCTACTGTGAAAATCATATGGATATTTTCTTTCCTTTTTTTAAATGTGCTATATTATATCAATTGATTTTATATTGAGCCATTCTTGCCTTCCTGGGATAAATCCTTTTCTGTATTCTCTGTCTGTCTGTCTGTCTGTCTGTCTGTGTCTCTCTCTCTCTCTCTCTCTCTCTCTCTCTCTCTCCCTCTCCCTCTCTCTCCCTCTCTCCCCCACTCTCCCTCTCTCTC